AGACCTTGGATGCATCAGGTTCAGGGTGGGTACTGAGAAATAGCAGCTGCTGCCGTCATCAAGACAATTAGGAGATGCCTAACTCATACCACACTCCAGTGCTCTTCTCCCTCAGTGCCCAATGGCCAACTATCCCAGAGCGGGCAGCAGCAGGCCTGCAGGGACAGCAAAACTGTGCCTTAGAGGCAGCCATGCCTTTGGACCTGAGAAACTTCTGCAGCTGCACATTGCAAAATCTCAGGGATTTTGCTCTACCCTGCTCCACCACTGCCAAGGCAAGTTCACTCCTGAGAAGACCTGCAGAGAGCGTCTTCCTCTGTGTTAGCAGGACACCATGAGGAACAGGCTCATCAGGCAGCACTCCATGATTAACAAATCAAACCTGTAGAAACAGGTTTCAGTAGGACGTTTGTTGTACACCAATTCCAACACCAGAGAAGAGACTTCTGACTCATTCCCACCCGACACCCCACCTGGGGAATGCTCACATGACAGAGTTTTATATTTCCTCGTTTAAGTGACATTAAGAAAGCTATCAGCACACTTAGGTACGCGACTGGACAGGGCATCAGTGATTACTCTGTATTAGCAATCGCACACCTTCACTCTGTGGTGGGGAGGTGTGAGTTGACAGGAATATTTCCAGCACTCCAGATGCATCATAGTGTGGCACACCCTGGAATAGGATGTTACTTTCTAAAACCTTTATGAAAGTATTTTCGTCATCAGTTGCCTCCTGTGACCACACAGACAGCAGCAGAGACAGAAGAGGTCTCCTCGAGACCCTGGGTAAAGCTGAGTAGAAGTTTAAAGAAGAAGAAAAGGACTTTCATGTTTGTCTTTTTTAAAACATCATCTCAAAGGAACAGCTTTGCTCTCAGAACGGAAAAAAACCTCAAACAGACAGTAGAGAAAATGAACCCTCAGTTGCAACAACACAGATAAGGCCCTAAAAAAATCAACAGTAAAAGTCCTGTTATGATTTGATTAAACATGGGAGTATTTGGGGCAGAATAACCTAGGTGCTGCCAACCCATCCCAAAGTACTTCTTCTTCCATTGCATGCCCTCACCAAAACTAGCACGATCTGTGGAAGAAAAAGCTGTGCTGTGTAGGTGGGGGTACGCACACACTCCACAGCCCTCTGTGCTGCTTTTCCTGTACAGCAAGTTTTAGGCAACTACATCCAACTTGATCATCAACTTTCATATCAATAATCTGCACACAAAGAATTGTGGCCATGTAGTACAGGTGTTTAAAATGGACTGAACCCAAGCCATTTACAGTCAGAGCAGACCACCTCTGTGGCTTGATGAGTCCTCAAAAAAGCTTTTGATAGTTTTGAGCTGTAGAGCCCTGGAAGGTAATGAAAGAAGAGTCAGACAACACCTGAGGGGCAGAGTATTAAAAACTCTCAGACAGTGTCTTTCAGTTATCACAAAATACATTTGAGACGTGGTCATCAGCACCCTGGGACACATTTTCCTACTCAGATACCTCTGCCGAGGAATGAGAGGCTGTCCTGTGAGCAGCAGCAGAGCAAAGTGTAATTCTGCAAGATACCAACATCTTCCAAATTCAGATCATAAACCAGTATTTTCCAGAGGTTAACCCTCAGTATGTGGCAGTTTCTGAACTTTCAAGTATTTTCATCTCATTTATCAAGTTAAAGATTACAGTGCTGCCTAAGAAAAAAGTAACAGGTAACATTTAACATCAACTGGAGGGTATTGGTGATACATGCTCGCTTTTAGAGCAGAAATTCAGTATTAAGGATATCACAGTACCAGGAACAAAACAAAACTAATTCAGATAGAGAGCTGATAAGACCTTCCTATAAGTATCAAGTATGAATTGTGTACCTGAGGAAAGCAAAGGACACCAAAGCAATGTCCATTCGCTCCGATGGTTTACCTGGGACTATTGTGAAGCCCACTCTTTCATGCCAAGACAGGGCACAATCAGGACATTAATTTTGATATGCTCTCAATTCTATATGTACATGAAAACTTCTGTTGCTTTAGGAGCCAGAAACACATTAGTCATTTGGTTTTAATTACATAAAAATTGAACTCAATACTATATTAATTTTTACTCTAAAGAGAAGCAGACTGGAGAGAGTATTCAAGAGGGAATGGTTAGACTAAAAGCTGTCATATATGACTGTTCTTTAACAGCAAATGCAAAAATTAACCATATTTGCCATCCCCAACAGAAACGACCAGGATAGCAGTTTCCCAGTAAGGAAAGGATCATCAGCAAGACTGAAGAACTTGGTTTCTGTTAATGAAATTTCACTTAAATGTGAAACACATCATTTTCCTTCTCTAACAAGGCTTTATTGTATTTGTTGTATTGCATTGTTTAATAAGTGTATCAGAACCTGATTAAGCACGTAGCAAAATAAGATTTACTTCATGCTCATATTTTTACATGTGAATGATGACTTTGTGGTACTTAAAGCCACAATCTCAGGAGAATAACAACAGTTTCAACTTCTCTTCCTGCTCAACTGTTGCAACCAAAATCATGCTGCAATTTGTGACTTAAAAAAAAGGTATTCCACTAAAGTAAAAACAAACCTAGAAAGTACTGAGCTCTTACGTTCCCTCTCTGAGGGTCATTCTGGTAAGCAGTACATCTTACTTGACAGAAGTTTAAAATTTAAGCATGCAAAAAGTCAGTCCTATAATCCAAAATTTATATAGCATTACAATTTACAAACATTTGCCTACAAGGACATAAAATCCCTCCTCTAAAACCAAAAACTAATGGTTGAGCCCCATATCAACATTCTGCCAACTGTTCTAGCTGTGCTTTCTGCAAAGACAGAAAGCTCTCACATGCAAACAGAGAGCTGTGCCAGCCAGCTCACACAGCAATCATCATCTGACGGCACTACTTTTTGGTAGCTGCAAGTCCTTCTCAGAAAGGTAATGATTCTGGAGCAGCTGCCACCTCCCAGCCTTCTCAGAGATCAGTGCAGAGCAGAGCCCCAGCTCGCTCCAGAGCCAGCTGCATAAATGTATCAGGTCAGAACCAAGCCCAGCAATTAAACTTGGCCTCTTTAGTGCAGGGTTCTGGATCCCGAGAGCAGTGAACGCAAGGCACTACACAGCACAGCGCTGAAAGCACACTCAGTGTTAGCCTGTACAGTACTCCACACCAGCACAAGTTAACTTTAGGGTATGGAAGACATCTCTAAATGCATTTAGATGTTAGCATCCAAGCGCCAGACTGCAGCGCTTTCCTACCTAATCCTTCATATGCTTAGTTTCCTCTCTCCTTTCATGTAAGCAAGCCCATCAGACATGCTCTGATTCTGCAAGTTAGCACTGACCATTGTCGTGAAGTTCCTTCGGCAGCATCAGAGTCTGTCACATATTCAGTAAGTGCCCTCAGTATGTGGCAGTTTCTGAACTTTCAAGTATTTTCATCTCATTAACGAAGGTTTTGTGGCAGGGAACTTTCTGGAAATTGACAGCAAAATGTAGTCTGCCTACTAAACACACACTCTTTTTCTGCATTAACACAAGCCAGGAAGGAAAGCTCATTAACATTTTTGCAGTATCTTAGGGGACAGATTTTGATTTTCCTGGTGTCTGTGTAAATTTAAGCTACTAATGAATGGAAATATGGAGAGTCAGGAAACCCTGCTTAGCAGATTTTTGTTAACTTGAAAAATGAAGGATCAACTTCAGAAAACCTTTAAAGATTCAATCTTCTTTCATGCCAATAACCATTTTATTTTCTGTTCTCTTTCTTCCAGGAATCTGTGAGGATTTTAAAATGAGGCATTCAGTTTGAAGGAAGAGAAATGTTTATCTGTCCACAGCACTGGAGCTTATACAGCCAGGACACGTAAAATAAAAACGTCAATGTTACTAAGCATAAGCACTAGAAGACGTTTATACTAAGGAAGTTAAATTCATAAAGTTTTAAAACCACAGCTATTATGACATCTATATGCCATCAGATCTAGTTTTTACATGCATCTTAAAAAAAAAAAAAAATTAACCTTCCAGAAGCAAACTCCAAGGACAAACAGTACATAAGAAGGCAAGTGGTGCAAGTTTCATGTCTGAAATAGGGTGCACCACAGCAGTTACAGCAGTGGTGTGATTGACGGAAAGCATTTCAGCCAGGTCTAGTACAACTCAGCACACTCTCACTGCACCAGTGTTTTAAAGGAGACTGTAACAGAGCTGAGTACATTACTCAATTGACAAGTGTTTATACAGAAGACCAAGTAAAACACTAAGGTCCTGTCTTTACTTTGTAGCCATGGCTCTTTCAGTTCACACTTTCCAGCTTTTAAAGTTTTCTATCTACCACGATAAGATAAGCATTTCCTACTCACGTAGTATTGTTCTATTGAGCTTGTGAATAAGGACGATAAACAGCAGGGAACAGTATTAAAAATAATTTCCTGGGAAAGTAAAAGTAATTTGAAATCGTAAAATAAATATGGATTAGTTGCATCATAGCTACTTGGAACAACAGTATTTACTACATCATCCAAAAAGGCTGACAGTGACAAGGAACTACTGAGGAGTGTTATTTTAAAAACTATGGTATTATTACAAAGAGTCCCTGGCTTTTAACATGGAAATATCAAAAAAATCCCCCCCAGTTTGAGTATGCAACGAAGTGTAAAACCCGTTACGTCTTTGTCCAAACATTTCAAGGCATTTTCAAGCTTTCGCACTTGTGTCTCCACATTCACAGATGAGAAGAGCTGGCAACTCATTATGCTCAAATTGAAATCAATTCCTCTACATAGCTACATGTTCTGTTAATATTATGCTCAATGAAATACATATATTTAGTAGCCCTGGGAGCAAATCAGTATTTCTTGTGCTCTGCAACATTACTAAAAAGTTAAGTCACAGACACTGGTATCAGAGGCTGAGCTTCACTCTGTCAAATGAAGTGATCATTGTAAGTGGTAGGCAATTCATTCTTCTTGAATTTGCATTTCAGGTCAACAATAGCTTTACCTGCATAATGTACAGGGATTTCTATCTTTGGCCCTATGACGTAGTGACCCTCCTCCAGACTGTGAGCTGTAATTGTTGTCCACTGCCGACATGAATGAATCAGAAGATGATCGCTCTCCCGAAGACCTTCTACAGTTTCTCCTGCAAAACAGATGTAGGTTTTCTTTTTAAAAAAAAACAGACTTATTGCATGAAGAATTAGGAAAACTTCACAACAAGCATGTTATTCTCATTGGTCCTTATTTTTTCCAGACTTTTGATATTTAAAAATCCAATTAAATAGATTTTAATTCTAGAGAGTATTCGATTTTGCAGCGTAAGCACTTTACCGTCCAGAAAACAAACATAAAGCAGAACAACTCAGAGCATGCATACAATAATATAGAGACGCAATTCAGATTACTCAGTGGTGGCTCTGGGGCTCCTTTTTCAGCTTACTGCATAAACAGACTTCATATTTCTATTTCTGTCTGCCTATCACACTTCATACAAATGCTTGAGAGGTCTTTTAATTTTCAAATAAAGGGAAAAAACCAACATATTCATATGTTAAAAGATCAGCATCACACCATCCTACAGCCACCTGAAGCCAAGTCTTGTTCATTACTGGATATCACACTTGCAGGTACAGAGATATCATCTTTGTCATTCTATGCCTTTGCAAGTCACTGCCTAATTAGCCATTCATAGGTCTGTAAACCTAATCCTATCACTTAATGAGGAGAAATAAATAAGTAAAAAAGTCCCCTCCCAGAGAGAAATTCTACCAGAAGCCCCCCCAGACAATGTGTAGCTCATCTTTGTAAGGCCCTCTCTCATACTCTGGTGTCTGTCAAATCAATCCCAAACACAGAGATACAGCTCCCCTTTCTTCCCCTGTCCCTACCAACTCCTCTTCATTTCTGCAGAGTATTCTCCCCTTCTCTACAGTTTGCAGCACCAGATCAGGACTAGAGTGCATTGCCTGATTTTCCAGCAACTGCAAGAGCCAGATTAGACAGATCACTCAAAAGCCAGCTATACATCTCAAGCATGATATACGAAAAAAATTTCACAGAGCAGACTGCTCTTACGCACCTGCAGTCCTGCCCACCATGCTTCTGCATTAAACACAAAAAACCCAGCCTTTCTCAAGGTGTCTTTAAAGCAGTCATTTGAACTCTCAAGAACACTCAGTAGACTCCAAACACGGGCCAAGAATAATGGAGTTTTAAATTTCATTTCCCTTCTCTCCCACCAGCCCTCTGCAGCTACAGCCAAAAATAACGCAAGTAGTTTAGCCCTGAAATCAAGTTTGGACAAAACCCATCCCCTTCAGCTACTACAACAAACTGCACTTTCTCCTCACTGTCCTCTGATATTCCTAAAAGTCAGTGGAAGAATGAGAATTTCCTCAGCCTGGGGCAGAAGACATTTCCCTTATTCAATCTCTGCAGAGGAGAGCTACTTCCCACTGAGATTTTTATTTGCCCACAACAGGCACTCTTTTCCACCGTAGGCAACAGCTACTACACACCCCATTCCTGCCTGATTTCATGCTCCCATTCTATCAGAAAACATCCTCCTACACGATTCAAAACACAGCAACTGGTGTGTATGAGAATTGTTAGATCTTAAATCAGAAGAGACCATTACGACCATCTGCTCCAACACCCTTTGGCCACAGGATTTTGCTTGTTTTCTCCAGAAACTTGGATTTGGCTAAACAAAGGAGAGACCTGGCCCAACCTGCACATTCCAATAGATGGACTTCCCTGGGTCTGCTGTTCATGGTCTGTTAAACCTTAAAAAAGTTCCTGTTTTGCAGATTTGGGTCTTTAACTTACAACAGTGTGTAAACTGCTATTACAGGGTTGTAGAAGAGGAACAAAAAAAAATTTAAAAAAATCAAAAGCTATACAGAGTTCCTTAATACTAGTCATTTTTGCTCCCATGAAGGTACAGTTTCCAGGTTTCCTTCTTTTTCACAGCATAGAAGGTAGCTTCCAGGTAAACAGGTTGTTTTATGAACTAGTTTCCAAGTGTTCCTTGAACCACATCCCTTGGCAGCCCAGACAGGCAGGCTGCTTAACACCAGCTACTGATCCCTGGGAAGCACTACCCCTCCACCCACACTGGGATAAGGGACCTTGGAAAGTCTAGAGAAGAGTGGCAAAACTGCCATGCAGCACCAGAGAACTCTTCGGCCCCAACCATATCTTGAAAGAAATTCAGATATATTTGCTGGAGGGGTCATGCATCTGTTAAATTTTAGTAAATTGTCAGACCTTGAGCATCTCCTGTTTTCTGCTCACAGGGAAACTCCTAATACATATAAAAATTATCTTCAGCAGCTGAAATTTTGAGGGAAAGCACAATAATAATAATAATAAATGGTGTTACTTGAAACTCATGTTTCAGTTCAGATTGTTACACTTATGCTTCCTATAATCCATGGCAACAAGTAATTATTTTGTCCCACAACAAAATCAAACTAATGACAGCTAAGGGAAGAATTAGTGTTTTACTAGTTTCACTGCCAGTGGTAAACAAATTTGGAATAAAATAAAAAGCATCTCTGGTACGCTTTTCTCTGCCTTACAATCTGTAGGTATAATTTCAGATCATTACCTAAAGGAAGGCTGGATTCTACGTCCAGGATTGCAGGGAAATAATTACAGTATGGGTCACTCTCGAAGAGTCTGAGAAACATATTCTCAGGAAAATAAAGATACCCATTATGAAAAGGTGCTTCCAGTCATGGCTCACATGCCATGATCTGTTAAAGTGGTTACTCCACTAAAACTGGGTGGGACAGGTAAGTGTAAAAAGAGATTAGTAAGGCAGGCCCAAGACTAACTACGTAATTGAGTCTGCAGCTGGAAGTAGCTGTATTTTTTAAACGAACCTTGGAAACCACAATTCTTATTATAACAATTATTTGCTGCAACCAATTACACAGGAAACGAATTTTGTGCTTTGCCACAGGAGACTGAGCCAAGGAGAGAAGGTGGAGCAGATGTGACAGGGAGGTGACATTCCCCCTGGCTCCCTCACAATAGGAAGGTCTGTTCTTACCAAGCCCTGATCTTTCCTAACCATGGGCAAGACGGATTCCTGGAGTTGCTTTATAGGAAGAGGCTCCTTGCCACCAAGGAAATAATGGACTCACAAAAACACCTGGCTAATGATGGTCTCCATGCTACAGGAGGAAAACGTGACTGAGGACAACAGAATATGGCAATACATACTCTCTTCTTTCTTCCCTTTTCTTCTAGTCTGTCTCCCCCATAAGACTTGCTCACTGCTTTTAAAGTGGTTTCTTCCAGGTAAGAGACACCTCTGACACTTGCTGCACGACTCGGCTCGCAGCCCAATCCAGCCCAGACAGCCCTTTATACTTCTTGGTCAACTGTACTTTGCAAAACAGCCACACGCATTCAATCTGATTTCCCCCCCACCTCAGTAACACAAGTTATGCAAGCCTTCCATTAATCACATTTCAGCTATGTGGGAGAGAACTCAGCAATCCTCACATTCACCAACTATGCAACTCGGTTCTCACCTATCCAACATACTCCTACGCCGCTGCTTACATAAAAACAAGATGCCATGAGAAAACAGAGAACACAGGCCACTCATCTTCAGTAGCAGTTCTGTCTCTTATGATCCAGTACGGATTAGCTATATCTTTTCATCCTCTCCTCCTCGCCGCCCCACATGCCTGTAATATAATTAAACCACTACAAAGAATCTACAGGTAAATATTTGTGTTGTTTTTCTTCCCCCCAAATAAATGTCAGAGAAGCAAAGAACTACAACGTGCAACTCCCCACCCTACTCCAAGTTGTCTACCTCTTTCCAAATATGAGTCAAGTTTATTCATAATCATGCCTGAGACTAAGAAACCCATGATTTGCTAACAGTGCCTAAACCCTAAATAAAGTGTCAACACCCATCCTTGCCTGAGATTAAAAGCCTCACACTTCTGAACTGAAAACTTAGCCTGTATGTTCTGTCATAAGCTGTCCTCCCACAAGCACTCTGACCACAACCACTATTTGGGCTACTTCACCCTGCACCACCAAAGCAGCACTGCAACAGGTCTTCACGTCTTCATTGCAAACAAGATTCACTATCATTTTTTAATTACATGACCCATTTCCATGAAATTCCTATAAACCTCTAACATTGTAAACAACACCCTTGTTGAAGGGTAGTTGCAGGGGGAATGCTGACTGGGAAAGGAAAATTGTTCGCATGTTGATACAGCCATAAAAAAAAGGTAATTTCTTAATCAAGAGTTGCATGCTTATTAAATACCACCTACACTGAATACCAATACTTTAATAATTCTTTCCAGTTCCAAAACTGGATCATCCACATTTGGCAAATCTTGGTTCTGTCACTGTAAACAATCCAGCTTCAAATTAACAGCTAACAACTGTAGTAAGACTGGGAGCAGGACACCTTGAGCTACAAATTCAGAGATGAATTTCTATTTTCACTTGCAGTTTTTAAGAACCAAGTGAGAAAACAGAGGTCAACTACATGCAGGGACTGAATTTATAAATGTCAAAGCTGCAGCACAGAAGGAAGCAAGCACTGACCTCCCTGTAAGTAGTTGCCACTGTTTACTTTCTAAAGACGTACACTTTTATTTATTTTAGCCTTTCACAATTCCCAAATGTCTAGGGTAAAGCCTCGGGGGTAGAACTGAAGACCACTCCATTTTTGAAGGGTTTGAGCACTCCCACCTCCTCTTTGCTTCCTTCTGGGTCGTAGAATATCTCAAATTGGAAGGGACCCACAAGGATCATAAACTCAACTCTTTACTTCTCGCAAGATTGCCTAAGACTAAACCATATGACTAAGAGTATTGTCAAGATGCTCCTTGAACTGACAGGTTTGGTGCCTTGACCACTTCCGTGGAAAGCCTGTTCCAGTGACCGACCACCCTCTTAGTGAAGAGACTTTTCTTAATATCCCATTACAGTCCATAAAAGAAAATTCACACAGGTCCCACATATTCTGCTTGCCAAAGACAACAGTGACTTTTCAACACCAACCACTAAAGAAAATTCATCAAACAAATGAAAAAAATCCCCAAAAACAACAACCAAGCCCCAGCTTTTAAGGTTCTCCTCCTAGTATCGAAAAAC